GCGGCTTTATGTACTCCGTGGGCGGTTAACAGTGCAGCGCGTCCGTGTCTGCAACCTGCTCCTCACAGCAGAGTCACCGTATCAGCACCGATCCCCGCGACGAGCGTCTAGTTAAGAGCGAGACTACAGCGCGCGGTTAGCACTTCCGGTTACTGCCCCCCCGCCCCGAGGCACACTAAAACCTCAACTAGGCAACTTGGAAAGAGATTCATTACACAGAAGTGTGAAGTTCACTGTTACACTCCGAATTTAAAAGGTTTAAAAATAAACATTCAATACCTTCAACAACTTGTGACGATGTGAGCTCCACTTTATTATAACATAATATGAAAATACTGCAGGGTCCTCCTAATGAAGAAAATACTTTTGTCTTTTTATGCAAATGTACTGTTTATAAGATTGGGGAAACCTGCAGCCGGCTGAGACTGAAGAAGTCACTTGGATGAGCGATGAAATGTTTCTCCCACAAAACGCTACGTCCGGATGAACAGAAAAAAACTTTTGGAGACTTTTTTCTTTTGTGTGCAATATCTTCTGCCACAGTCTGTCTGAGCTGGGTTTAAAAACATATATGAAATTACATTCTTGTTTCAATTTGCATCACATATGGAAATAAATGGTTGAATGGTCTGCTACTGGCACGTTTCTACTCAGTTTGACCAAATCAAATACAAATTCAAGTCTCATTTACCCAATAATACACACATTCATACAGGGCTTTTATCTAACATTTCCTCACACTCTGATGGATACACTCTGAGTTGAGTATCTTTGACACATGAACTGGAAAGGCTGAGATCAATCAGCTGTCCTTGTTATTGATGGATGATCCGCTTTACCACCTGACCAACAGCTGAGTCAAATAAATGCTGGGTTATGGGAGAGATTGGAAATGCTCCACCGAAATGATTTATTGCATTGAGTCGTGTGACTATGTCTGCAAATGTTCTGAAAAACTCAAAACAATCTCAATTTAAAAATATTAAAAATATATTTTTTTTCCATCTTGACTGATATCTTAGAGGAATAGGCTGACTATAATTTAAAATAGTAATTTCTGGGGTTTTTTCTTCAAAAACAATGCATATTTTGTTAATGTTAACAAATCACAACCTTAAATATTTAGCCAATCAAATATCTATTATACAAGTCTATAAACTCAGCTACATAGTTAATATTTTTCATTAATTAAAAAGACACAGCTCTACTTGCTGCAGTTTTAGAGTTCTTACATGGAAGCCCCATTTTTGACAAGTAAAAATAATCACCAATGTCAGAAGTTTGGGCAAGAACACTTTATCCAAGGTAATTTAAAGACATTGCTGTCCTTACAGAGTTTATTTACACCAAAAATATTTTCCATAAAGCTTTCCTAGATAATGTAAATATTATATGCCAGCAATGTCAACACTTAAATGTAAATTGGGCACATGGCATTAAATCTACAGGTTCAGACTTTTATTTTGAAATTGAATTTGCTTTGTACAGTTTCCTGTATCTCGGCTACCTTGACACAGAAAAAGGCGGGTCTTCCAGCGTCTCCAATCATATCTAATGGGGAACTGAGTGTTAAATTCAAATGTATTTTTCCTCACCTGGCATTTAAATCACAGAGGAAACCAAAAGTAACGCAAGTACAACAAAGACTTCTGTAGTACTCGCTATACTTATAGCGCAATACTAAAATAATGTAATCAGCTATTGATTTTAAATAGCAGAAGGAAAATGTAATAATAATAATAATAATAATAATAATAATAATAGCAAAAACAACAATGGTCTTTCTTGGCTAACCTACTTTCCTGTGGAAGGGAAACTGAACTTACCAAATAAAGCTCTCCTACACTTGTTCATATTGTGTCATGCAATACATATATCACATATTTTAGCATTGAAGATATCTTACAGGTTGTGTCATCTTACCGAGATGACTCCTCACACACTAGAAGCTACCGAACACATTCCTCTTGACATTGTCACCTTTATATTTCCAGCTTTCAGCGGTCAGACTCTCTCCCTGCGATGTTTGGTCCTGCTCTGCCATCAGGTGGTGGAAAACTGCTATATCATCCTGATAGAGCGCAGTGTGTGTGTTATCCTAACAGAGCAAATATTAAATCAAGCGACAGGGACTTCTGGATTACACAAAATGACCACTGTGAAGTTTGGGTGGATGTGTATTAATAAAATAGTCGATTCACTATCACAATTCCATAACAGGTATCTCCTCAGAGACTTTGTATCCAGTTATGCAAACAGGTGAGAGGAACCTTTTGATGCCATTAGATTATCCTCACAATGTCAACACGTGTTCTTTGAAAGAACACAATCATATTGTCAGTTGCTGGATCTCCAGAATCCATTAAACTGAGCGCCTCATCAGCTCAGCACCTTGAGTTTTTACAAATGTCAGTGATGATGCCAGTGTGGAGGTTTTTAAACCTTATTGAAATCTCACTCCTCAACTTTAAGCCAGATTTTCTTAACTAACCACCTGATCAGGCTAATGGTGTTTTTACAAGGGCTGCTCTTCTTTAATGATGTTATAGCCAAACAAAACTACACTTTGTACACGTGTGCTCATAAACATATTGGATATTTCTTCCTTTTCTCCTCCATCCTGCCCACGTTTCCCCTCAGATGTGTCAGCAGCCTGTGCACAATTTGCAGGAGGCCCATTAACCACTTCAGGCTCCACAGAGTCTGACGTTAGTTCATCTTCCTGTGGAGGCGGTGCTGTGATTTGATCATCGTCCTGACAGTGGGTATGAGTTTGTGTCTGCTGTACCAGTGGATTGGATATTTTATGGACTAAAGACTTTTGCTAAAGTTAAAGTTGCAGAGTTTACCTCTCTATTGGCTTCTTTTAAATTGTCTATGATTGCTTTGTTTTTCCAACAGTTATACTGCAGGATCTCATTTTCCTTCTTCAGTGTCTCCAACACTGACTGTGAAATAAACATATGATTGGTTTTCTCAGTTTTCCTTATATTATTATAGTGTCTTTGCCTTACAATATAAAGCACCTTGAAGCAACTGTTGTTATGATTTAGTGCTATAGCTTTTGATACGTCTAATAGCTTCTTAAACATGTCATCCTTCTTAAATGAAACAAGTTATAAAATATCACTTTGGTAACTGATAGCTTATGACCAGTTGTATTCACAGAGCAATAAAACAGTAATGGATAATAAGGGGGAGCTCAACATACCTGCAGTGGCTTATTACAGCAACTTGTCATTAATTAATTGTAGACACCAGGAATTTTGAAAGAATCTCTTGATATACTCATTACCTGAGCCATCAATAGTGAAAGCTTGAGGAACTGTTTCTCTACTGAGATTAAAAATCCATTGCTGCACGATCATTTCTGCTGTTGCTTTGGAAATCCCATGCACAGTCGTCTTTGCTTTGGAGAAAGAAGACATGGCTGATTTTAGGTGGTTTAACTTCAGCTGTCTGTGAAGGTTCTCAGTCATCCAGGTCATCGTAGTCTAAGGAGCTTGCAAATAAAAGTGTCTGGACTTCTTTAAGTTGCTTGAAGACGTTTCACCTCTCAGTTCTAAGGGTCAAATGGTGGGGAGTCCCAGATTTCAACCCAGTGGGAGTTTCCCCCTCAAAGAGGGACAAA